GAAAACGAAAGAGAAGGTGGAGCATCAATAACCGTTCCAAAGAAGCAAAAAAGCAGCAAAGAATTCTTTGCTGGACATTCTATAGTGCGATACTGTGAGGTCAGAAGCAAAGAATTGGAGTTAAACTTTACGAAGCAGCCAACAGTAGCAGCGAAGGTAACGAGCGAGTGTGGACAATGGACGATGATTGGCCGCTATTAATGAAGGGCGATTGCCTGTTGTCGGCAGTTGCCTGCGGTTCCGCATCTCAGGACTTCAACTTCAATCCCAAAGAAGAAGATACTCCCAGCTATCTGTCGTTAACATCGCCACAACAGAGTCTAATTATTCCAGATCCAAGTAGCGATTATGCCTTCAATTTTGGAGATCCGTTGCTTAGTTCACAAAAACTTTTAGCTGTACCAGCTGACAACTTTGCTTCGTCACCACCGTATTCAAATACGGCGAAAGGTGACTGCCGAGAAGATATCAGTAAGTTTTTTTTTTTTAATGTTAAGTTTTTATTTGTCTGTCAAATTTGCAACATTACTGCAATGTTTAATTTGTCTAAATAATTGTGAAAAAAAAACGGTCAATTAGACCATAAAACTGTTTATAAACTTGATTCTTAAATTTTTATCATCTTTATCTTTTCATGTCTGTATTTTTGTCTCCTCATTTGTCTTTCCTATTAATTACACATGCGAAAAAGGATAATAGACAGACAAAAAAAATGGTGTTAAAAATTCTTTTGATACATCAATACCGATGGTGATTGTTGATGTTTTTAAAGAAAGCATATGCTATTTAGACGTTTTATAATATTAATTTAAAAAAAAAAAACGCTGTACATATATATAGGAATATTCATTTACTTATAAAATATAGAGGATTTTTTTTGAACAAATTATTGACAAAAGATTATGAACAAAAATTGGGAAAGATTCTGTTGGCTTATTACTGTTGCTGACACGCTTTTTTGAAGGTTAATTTTAAATAAGAAAAAAAAAAAAGAAACAGACACAAACATTTTCTTTCGAGGCAAACGTTATCAAAAAAAAGAGGTGAAAAATTATTTTTCATATTTGGTAAAATTTTTTGCTTTTTCTTTTTTTTTTTCTATTTAGAATAATTTGACGTTGTGTTATCATCTTTTTGTGTTTTATTTCACCGATACCATACTTTTCCTGCACAACTCTTGGTAGGTGAAGGCGGGAGAGGCAGAAATGAGAAGAAAGAGAAAAGGAGAGGTGAACATTGATGGATTCAAAGTAAAAAAAAAAAGAAAGAGGGGGAGTGAAAAGTGGATTTAAACGTCATAAGAGAGGTGATCTTTGACAAAAAAAAAAAAATTGATAGATGGAAAGGGTAAAAAGTCTCTTTTATTTGTTGAACGTAATTGATGTAAGGCAAATTTGTACAATGAATAAGTGCTGTTGGTTAAGCTGATTGGGAGCAAGAAAAAAAAAAA